GGTCCAGCCCCCGGCGGGGGTCCAGCCCCAGGCCGTGGTGGGGCGGCCGCTGTCCCCCTCAGCTGGGCCACCCCGCAGAGGGGAGGACGATGGGCCTGTGCCGCAGCAGTTCAGGGCATGAGGCCACTTTCAAGGCACAGCTGTGGTCTGGCCACCCCCACCACCAGATGCCGTTGACCCCAGTTCTGATGCAGCTTTCAAACTCTGGCAGTTCCACAGCGTCCAGTGCAGCAGGACCAGCTGAAGCCAGGGCAACCTTTGGCCTTCCTCTGTTCCACCAGCTTCCCAGAGCACGTGAGACCTGCTGGGTTTTGCCACCTCCGGAGGCTACATGCAGCCCCTCCTTGGGAAAAGCAGCAGGTCTGAGTCGGGGAAAAAAATAGATTTAAATTGTCTGCAAAACATATTCCTGCTTTGAGATGCTGTAGGGAGTTTTTTTTTGAAGAGCAAACGGGCTCTGACCCCTCCCGGGCATGTCAAGATCCTGAGAAGTGCTGTGTCCTGTCTGCCAGTGGTGCGGACACAGCTGCCTTCCCCTGCCTGCTCCTGCTGCCCCTCGGACAGGTGTGTCCTTGGAGCTCCGGGTGCTGCATCACCAGGCGAGTCCTGGATGGGATTCCCCAAACTCCAGGCACTGCTGTAGCTCTGGCTTGATGCCACGGATGTGAAGATAGCTCTGTTCCCTGCCACTCAAGTCCACATAGCGGATGAGGTCGTGCCACAGGGCGGGTACTGACGTTCAGATCCTGCGCTGCTCCTGCCAGCACTGGGCAGGAGCCCCTGGGGACAGGAGCACTCACTGAGCTCCCCTTGCCCTCCCCAGGCACCCCATCTGGGCTGGCATTTTCCCATCCAGGGAGGGAGCTGAGCAGGGATGCAGGCCCTCTTGGGCTAAGGCAAGAGGTGTCTGGAGCAGAGGACACATCCATTTGCCATAAGAAGCCCCAGGGGGAGCGGCGGGTTTGTCTCTGCCATGAGTGGGGAAGAAGAGCCCCGGTCAGGCCCAGGGTAAGCTGACGCCAGAGCTCGGGGCCACTGCCCTGCAGGCTGCCCCATCTCCTCGGCCAGGCAGTGGGGTCTCTTCCCCTGGTTTCTCTTCCTGGGCTGGTGGCAGTGAGCCCCTTTTCCCTCTTAGGCGGGTGCAACAGTGCCACCATAGCAGAGGTCCCTGGCAGGGGGGAACCAAGGCACCCAGATGCCATTGTTGCTGACAGTGCTGGCCCCTCTGTCCCCACAGGAGAGCATTGATCTGACCTGCGAGGACACGAGCACAGACCCGGTGCCATGGAGCAGCCTCACCATCATTGACTTGACAGAGGACACATGCAGCCCTCCCCACACCACCAGCTGGGCTGACCAGGGCCCCGAGCAGGCATCTGCTGCCCCAGCAGCACACATGTCCCATCCCCGGCTCTGCTCCACCACAACACAAGAAACGGAGGCAATGGCAGGGCCGAGCCCTGCAGCACCCTGGCACAGCACTCCTGTGGAGCCCTGTGCCACCACGGACACAGCAGAAAGAGCAGAGAACTGGAGTGGCTTCTCTCCTGCCTCCAGCTGCCATGGCTCCTCCTGCAGCCCAGAGCAGAACTGCAGCACTACCACTTTTAACAGTGACTTGGGCTCCCTGGCTAGCATGCAGCTGGACTCAGACCTGCTGTCCCTGTCCCCCTCCAGCCTGGACAGCAGCAGCAGCTGGAGAGCCAGTGGCCCAGAAGAAGAGGCTCCCCACCTCTGCCAGCAAAGGGAGCTCCCCCCAAGGCTGAGCCCTGGCCCAGCCATCCCCACAACCCCAGGAAAGGCCCAAGGGCCTTTGCTGGAAACAGGTGACTTACCGCCGCATGAAGCAAGCCAGCAAGTGACCCCAGCCAGGTCCAAGGCTGCCAGCAAGGCCTGGCTGAACAAACTGCACTATTTCAGGAGAAGCGGAGTCCAGCACCTCTTCCTCCAAGGCGTAGCACCCAGCAGGGAAACACAGCAGGTAAATGGGGTTCAGAGCAGCCACTGCCAAGCCCAACTGGAGCCTGCTCGGAGCAGCCCCTGCAGTAGAGGATGGAACAGGGGCAGCCCCTGCTCCCCTTCCCCTTTTGGGGGAAGCTTTGCCAGGCAGTTGGGATCTCTGGTTATTGCGGTTCCCTTCACAGTGGGCCCCACATCACAGCAGGATTTCTCTGTGTCGGTGGGAGCCAGCTTTCACCCATTGCCTTGCCTTGTATACAGCGGAAACCCGAGCCCATCCCCAGTGGGAAGCTGAGCATGGTGCACACCACCATGGAGGAGAACTTCCTGGAGGGCACCTTGCATTTCCTGAGCGAGTTCGTCTCTTGCCGGCACTGTCCCCCCAAAGAAATCATATCCCACCTGATCAGACAGATCCTGTTGAATCCCCACCAAGGGGAGATCCTGAAGGACACCTACATGCTGCTGATGAAGATTCAAATGTACGTGTTCCCTTTGCCACGGTGCCCTGGGGCTGGCTAGGTGCTCCCAGAAGCCTGCCCAGCATAAAAATTACTCTCCATGGTCCTCACCCACAGAACAGGGAATGATTTCCCCTATAACCCAGGATGATTCTCCTGCCCCTGCCTCCTGTTATCAGCACAGGCACACCCAGGGCTGTCTGAGGGTGGGTCAGGGACAGCCTGCGACACCAGGAAGCCCCCTAGGACAGAGGAGTGTGTTTGCCTTGCTCCTGAAGTGCAGATCTCATTCTTCACTGCTGTGACATGGCAGAAACACCTTCCCTGGGCTGCAGTAGGGGCCACGGGCTGGAGGTGGCTGGAGCGGTTCCCTTGCTGCCCTCAGGGTTCCTGCAGAGAGGCATAATGTTTTGTGACGCCATGGGTCCAGGAGTCCTAGGCCTCTCCATGGAGTACAGCCCCAGTCAGGTGCTTCGAAAACAAATGACATGGTCAGGGGAGGAGCAAGGGAGAGGGTGAAGCTGTAGAGAAGGCAGCAGGGCAGGTCCCTGAGCAAGTGGGGCTGGGACGGGGTGGGGAAGGGCCAGGGGCTGCCATGCCTCCAGGCAGACGGTCAGGCAGTTCAGCACAAATGGACAGTGCTGTCCTTGCAGGCTCCATCCAGCCAACGCTGCCACAGTGGGATGGGACTGGACGCTGCTGAAATACATCATGGAGGACCAGGTACTTGGCACCGCCTGTGTCACATAGGGCAGGGATCATCCAGTACATAGTGTCGGAGGATAAGCGTTGCCCCAGGGCCTTACATGGCCATGCTCTGCTGCAGAATGGGCCAGTCCAACATGCAGTTTTATTGCAGCCACTGAGGGCAGCAAGTGCCAGTTGTGCATTCCACATTTATCCACAGTGCTCCCTAACCTGCTGCACAGCTGTAGGCAGGTTGTCTCTGAAGAAGGCACAGCTACAGATAAAGCCTCTGTGGGTCACAGCCCTAGTGCAATGGTAGAACCAGTCCAGCAATGCCCCTAGGGCAGTGCCTGAGCCAGACAGCCCCTCCTGGAGCTACTCCTCAGTCATATACATCAGCCCATCCCCAAGACAGCCAAATTCCCTGGTGCTCTTTGCGCAGGCTCATACTATCTCCATGTGCCCTCAGGAGAAGCCCCCCGGCCGGCTCCTCTTCCTGCAGTACGTGGTGCAGACCCTGGAGGATGACTTCCAGCAGAACCTGAGGTTGCGCCTACTGCAGAAGTCAATTGCCAAGAAAGTGCTTTCGTGTGACATGTGCTTCAACAATGTCAAGTAAGGGACACCTCCTCATCCCCTGTTCTCTAGCGAGACGCTGAGAGGCAAGGGGTCAGGGAACACTTGTCGAGACTCCAGGTCAGACTTTCAGACTCCAGGAAACAAGCTTGGGAGACAGAGGGAAGTGTAGGGCCCAAGTGTAAAGAACAGGAGCAGGATTAGAAATGCAAACCAGCAGAGATGATGCAAGGCATTTCCAGCTGCAACCTAGCGGGCTTTTCCCAGGAATGAGGTCAAATTTGCATTGCTCAGGACAGGACTGAGGAGGCAGTCCTGTTGACAAGCGTATAAATCTGCTGCTCAACAGAGCTACTCCCTAACTTTTCCAAGCAGGTGGGACATATTCTTCATCCTTGGGGTCCTTCCTCAAGCTCCAAGTGGATCTAGAGGTCAGAACACAGAAAAACCAGGCCTGTCCCCACTAAAGTTCCTGTTTCTGTCCCAGGGAGGTGGTCGAATGGTTGGTGGCAGCTGTTACAGGAGTCGGGTTTGTCCAGCCCCGGGAGCAGCTGCAAGAAACATCCTCTTCAGCAGAAGCAAGGGCCGAACACAGCTCATCTGCACCATGGCTGGCCAGCACTGACCAGGCAGAGGTGGCTCCACCAGCTTTCTTTGCCCAGAAGTAAGCCCCAGAAGTCCTGACTCCCTGTTGGCATTATCATGGGGCCAAAGTCAGGAAGAAGCCAGAGACTCTCCCTATCAGGTCAGAGAAGCCAGGCTGTACCTATGCCCAGTTTTGCTGGTTCTCCTTTGGGGAAGACATAGACTTGGTGAGCAAGAGACTTCCTCACCTGGTAGGAAACTGGCTCAGTAAGCGTCCTTCTCTTGCACGTAGCGTAAGGCTGGAGCTTTTGGCCCACAAATTAGGCTGCCCCGTACTGCCCCACCAACACTCAGTACAGTCCCTGAAACCTCCTGAGAGCCCATCTGGGGATTAGCTCTGTTTCCAAGACCATCAGATTCAAAAGCTACCAAGAGGTACCAAACCTAGCCTGCTACGTTCCCCTGTATCCCTCACTGCAAGGCACAAGGCTGAATGAAGTGCCATCCCCACTGTTTTACTTTGCAAGCCAAGGTGTAGCGTCTCCTGCTGTTGACTGTGTCTCTAACCTAGGGTGATGCTCCTGCTCCAGCGGATGTTGTCCATTGCAGTGGAAGTGGACAAATCTCCCAACTGCAGCTCCTGTAAGATCGCAGATGTGATATTCCCGTTTATACTGAATATTCCCCTGAGGAGCCAAAGGTGAGACAAACATGCAAGGCAGTATCTGCCTGTGTGAGCAATGGTGTTATTCCCAATTTACATCCAAGTCTGGATGCATAAAGTACCATAGGGTATAGAAAGACAAGCTCATTTATGAGCCAGCCAGCAAAAGCACGGCTCTGTCTCCCATGGAGATACAACATCACTAGCTGAACGCATCTACCCAGCTGGTGTGTTGCTGAGAACAGTTGATTCTCCCAGTTGTTAAAGTTGCAAGACCTTAAAACTGTGAAAAGGGTCTGAAAAGCAGCACTCTGCATCAGCACAGTGAAGTACTGGCAAACATATGACTGATTCCCAGAGGCACCTGGGTATCTCATCAGAAATATGTTGCAGTTCCTACAGCTTTGCCTTGACATCCTTTTGTTTGGTTCTCTACTGCATGCAGTATCTGAAGCCAAAGCACAAGGGCCTGAGTGGCTCTAATGTAGAGGCGAGACCACTAGACCCCCATTCAAACCCATGTTTGCAAGCCCCAGCAGGCAGCCTGTTCAGACCCTTTTAGCAGAACTCTCTCTGAGTGCACACCACAGCTAATCAAGCCAAACTGACTTTAACCAAGCTATCACTCCTCCCAGGATAGATATCCTAGATCTGGCTGGCCGGTGACCCCACTTCACACTTGCTTGGCTGGGCTTCCCGGGCTTGGGTAACTTCCACACAGGCTGCTGGGCAGGGTGAAGTGAAGCAGCTAAGCTTGCTTCACAGACCGTACCGACCTCGAGTTGCCATAGGTCAGACCTAAGGACGTAAACATGTCCATGGCCAAGCTGCGTAACGGAGGTGTCTCTATCCCATCTGGTGGTTTTCCTTCCACGCACTGCTGGGCAGCCCCGGCAGTCACCCCACATCTGCACCAGATCAGCACCGGCAAGACACCAGGAACATGCTGGAGCAGTTGTCCCTGGTCAGGCTGTGCTGTATCCTGCAAAGTAAATCCCTTTTGTCTCCAGGGAAGCTTTCTTAAACACCATGCAGAGCCAGCTCCTGCGCTGCAAACTGCTGGAGCTGTTGTTCCAGCATAGTTGTGATGTGCCCACGACCTTGCCGTTGTCTCTGGCCAAGATCCTGTATTTCCTGAGCCACTCCTCTGTGCTGCTGCAATACCAGGTATCCAGTCCAACTTCTCCTTTGTCTTGTTTTCTCCTGGTAAAACCTCCTCTAATAACCAAATACTGTCTCCTGTCGTAGGATGGAACAACAGCATGGCAAGGATGGGATGAGATGCTGCAGTACTTGAGTTTGCTGCTGCTGAGTTACCAAAATGTAATACTAGGTAAGCAGCCTGTTCTGGCCTTAATAAACACGATCCCTTCAAGAGGCCAAAGTACCCTTGCTCCTCTCTTCTCATCACTCTTGAACTCACGGCCGCCAAGTCTTAGAAAGATAATGTGCCTTAGTCCATGCTAGTAACTATTCCCAGCAGTCAGAGCAAAAAAATGATGTTGCATCAAGCGGAGGACCCAACTTGCTTTGCCAAGTTTAGCCCCTAAGAAATAGCCTACATCCTAAAGGATCAATCCCAGCACTGAGAAGTACACAAGGAGGTGCTTTGTACCCACTATTGTCTAAGTTGCACACACAGTGGGTGAAAGAATAGGGTGGTTTAGGAGGAAAAACAGAAGGCAAAGGGATAGTAAAGCCAGGACACACTCAGCACTTATTAGACTGGGCAGGGAGCACCACCCACAGTAGCCATGGAAAGAACTGCATTTCTGATGCCAGGGGAGTGGCACATGCCCAACACGATCCCTAAAACTCCTTAAAGTCATTTTACCAGAAAATTCCTAAAGTCTCTTCCCAACTTCAGCTGCTTTAGCCCAGGGTTAAGGCTTTCATGGAGGAATGCAGAAGAACCCACCATCACATGTGCATAGAGCCTTATTCTCCCCAAAGCCCTTGAGAATCATTGTTGTTAAGCTCTTTGGAGACTCCTTTGCAAGTGGACAGCTGTCCAGTCTGCCACTAGCACAGGAGAAAAGGACACTACAAACCCTGCCCCTTCCCCATTTCTTGGGCTCTCCACATGGAGACTGAGCTCCAGGAGGGGACAGTTCCTTCTTACACCAGGCTAGTCTTGTACAGAAGCATCAAGGGTAATCATGAGAGGATCAGCACCGTTCCCAACTGCTCCTCACCACAGCGCCAGTGCTGCCTGCGGTACACTGCGACCTATCCCTGAACAGGTCAGGCAGCCCGTTGTGTGTTGCCTCTGCCCACCAGCGTTTCCTCTTGCAGAGCACTTGCGGAGTTCACTCAACGACCGGATGGACTTGATCATTCAGAAAGCCAAGCCCAAGCTCCAGGATGGCGATGACATCAGCCATCTGGACATTCAACTGAAGATAGAGGACTTCATCAGCCGAATGCAGGAGGTCCTGGGGCAGCCTTTTCCCTTGCAGATCATGGAGAAATTGTGCATGCTTCGGGAGTTGTTCCTCATTGTCACTGCTACCTGATGGAGACAACCACTGCGGCAGAGGGCACAAACAGCTTCATGTTTCCTCTGTAAAACCCCATCAAAACCCCCATCTCATGCTGCAGTCTCAAGTATTGTACATCATGTGGGTTTATTTATACATTTCTTTGGAAAAATATCTGTTTACATCATCTCAGAATCTCATCTCAAACTTGCCTCATCCTACAGTTTTACTAGGCACTTTGTACACTTTTAAAAAATAAATTATTTTTATATTTGCTGAGACTCTTCCATCTTGGTGCCAGCCCTGCCCAAAGGAAGGGCAGAGTTCTGTCATCTGTGCCTTGGGATAGCATTAGAGTAACACAGCCATAAACTGACAGCAGTTTGCACAGCAAGCAAAATGCCAAAATACCTATTCAATATTTAGGAAAATACAATAATCTTTTTTAAAAAAAACCAAAGAGGTACGGGGTGCAGTGAGAACATTCACAGTGCAAAGATCCCCAAGCCAAGCTGGTCAGTCCTCAGGAAAGGAACATTTCTGCTCCAAATAAATCTACATGACTTTGCACAAGGTGATTAGCATATCAAGAGGGAGGGCTGGACAGCAGCATGAGCTGAAAAGGCTGCACCTCTTCCAGAATGCACTGAAGTGTCCGCAGTGCAGAGAAGCATGTGTGTTAGGATGAATATTGAATTCAAATCCACTACCATCAACTCAAACCACAGCTGAGGTCAGAGAGCCATTAGGCATTTCTATAGAAGGCCTCCTCAGACAGTTCACAAGCAACAGAGGTTGGGAGTGGGAGAACAAACCTTCTTGTAGCTGCCCATCACCCCTTTATCTGCCCCTGTGGTAGGGGTCCTAATATACCCCTTGGCAGAGTCCTAATGAGGAGACCAGAGCCTAGGAGCATCGAGCAGCAGTCACAGCTGGGAATGCACTAGTCCTGATGACACTGCTGCACACACTGAAGACCTGGTGCTTACTACACAGCCAGGGCCTCATCCAGAACCCTGGCTTTGTTTAGCCCAGAACTGTTTGGGAAGGGTCTGACCTGGGTCTCACAGGTTTGCTGCTTGTTCTTTAGGAAGCCTCTTTCCAACTGCCATATGTAGAAGAAACCACTCATTCACATGACACTGCCCCTCTAACCCAGGGATAAGCGAAGAAGTCTGTTTTGGGAGTAGTAGCCAGCAGCATTCCCAACAGTGCAAATTCCAAGTGCTGCCTGCCCTAGAAAAGCTGCTCTTCCTGCGTGGCATGCTCATTCAGGTGTATTTTCCATTAGGTCCTTTTAACTGGATTAGACTTCTACCACTAGACTAGAAAAGAAGCTGCATTCCAGCAAGAAGTCCATAGTTATGGATGTTATTTTCTGATATGTTGGCCATATCCCCAAGAATGATGTTGGAGTAAAATACAGAAAGCAGAATGACAATTACACCAACAGGCCACACTTTAACCTCAGCCTTTCCAAACTAAACTATGAGATTAGCCTGTGTAACCAAGATCTGCAGCAGCAGCCTGTACCAGAGCACCTGGGTGCTGCAGGGTCTATTTCATCACTTTTAGTTCTGCTAACACTCCAGGAGCACAGGAAACACCAGCGTTCAGCTCAGACATCCCCAGCCTAGAACTGTGTGCTCTATAAGCAGTACTGTGGCATCTACAAATGCTACAACAGCACTCAAGCCAAAACTTTTCCAAGGCAGGCAAAGCAGGGACGGCCACCGCACTGGGAGCTGGGCACCTCTAGGCAAATACCAGCCTGGCTCCCACACCTGTGCCCATCCCCACAGTACAGGTGCAAACACAGCACACAAGCTACAAGAGAAGCAATCTCAGGAACATGAAGAATCACTATTTGAATAGCTCAAGAAACACAAAGATTTCATGTTTAGTTTCATCTGCACAAGCCCTAAGACAGGACTAAGTCTGGCTTTAAACCTTGTCTCCCTATCAAAAAGGAGTTTTACAGAGCAAACATTTTACCCCAGTGCAAGTGCTGACAGCGCCTTATTAGGCAGAACCTTGACCCCCCACTCACTGGACAGACCATTTCTTCCACAGATGTTCTGCCAGCACTAACACACACCAAGAACCTCCATTCACAAGGATTTTATTTTCTCATAACAAACAAAATCATATGCATTAGACATGAATATAGACAACAAATAAATTAATGCCAAATAAGAGACTGATTGCCAAGGTGCAAATGAGTGGTGACAGTGAAAACTGCTTGGTTGGGTGGGAGACTTTCAACACAACACATCACTGGCAGTGCTGTTGAAGCTTGAGAGGAAGCAGAGCCACAAAACGTGCTTCTTCAGAGGGGGCAGCAGCTAGCCAAGTGAGCCAACCCTGCCTCATGCTCTAGGAGAAATGTTTGGTTTAAGAAGGCAGAAACCCCGGAGCTCAATGGTTACCAGCTGTTAAGTAACCTCTGTATAATGTCCTGGCAACAGAAAAGCTTCCAGTACCAGATGCAAGGCTGCTGCTGCCACCTCACCACCACAGAAAGCCTGCTGCTGGCTGAGGGAGCTCTGCAACACAATCATGAGCGCAAGAGAGAAGAGACCGGTGTGCCACAGGACAGGTGAAGATTACAGAGCAATGCTGCCTATAATGCTTAAGGGATTAGAAGGTAGCCAGGAGTTCCTTCCACTTTCCATGAAAGCAAGTGTTAGCTGTTCCCAGTAAATGGTTCTGACTAGGCCAAAAGTTACATATAGCTGTGTCATAGCAGGGAGGAACCTTTAGCCTTGGTCTTCCCCGAGTCCTTCCCCAGCCCTGCAAAACGCATTTAATGCTGATAGAAAAAACCCTATTTGAGAAGTGCCCTTGGTATCTTACACACTTCTACATAATTCATACAAGATGCTAGGAAAAAACCAAATCGAGCAGCACCCAGAGTGCCAGAATATCTGTAAGTCTGTTGTCTAGAAGAAGGCAGGACAGCGTTGTTTCCAGAAGAGTGGGATTACTTGGTTCAAGCCACACCAGCTCTGGTCATTTCCACCAACCTGAAGAGTTGGAAGAGAAGCTATTCTTCCTCGCCACTGCCAAGCCCCATTAGATCCTGCTCCCTGCCTTTCTAATAAGAGCATCTTAGAATGATCACTGCTCCAACTTTTCCTTTAAAGAGTCCAAGAACAAAGAAGTACTAGGTGTTGAACTATAAGGTCACACTGGATAGTAAGATTGTGCCACATTTAAAACTGACCCACCACTTTACCAGAGCAACTTCCTTCTGGCATTTAATGGTCCAGATTTTAGTACCTGCTTGTCTTCATCATTTTCTGCTGGTGTTCTGTATACGCCAGACAGAACCACGGTCCTCCTGAGGGTACTTCAGCACTGAGCAGGACAAGACACTCAGACTACAGGTAGACAAGCCAGCCTGCTTGCACACTACATGCAGTCCTCTCCCACAAAACACAGTTCAAGGTTTTACTGTGGTGTAGTGTAGCAGGAAGCACATCTCGTGCAGCCTAGCAGACCGAACTGGTGCAATACAGCAGACAGGATGGTTTACATTGGTTTAGTACGAGCGCAGGAGTTTTTCCAAGACTGGCTTTAGGAGGAGTCACAACTGTTTCCTTTTCTGAGATGAAGAGCTGGAAGGGAGACTTTCCTATTTTACTGCAGCAAAACGGGACAGGGAAGCAGAGCCTAAGACACCCTTGTAGCCTGCTAAAGACACCAGAACCATTTTTCCTAGAAGCCAGTGGGAGTGAGCACGTTCAGATCCCGAGGTTTGATATTATGGGAACGTGGAGATTGTTTCCTCCCTTCTGTGACTGGAATGTCCATTTTGGGTGGCTTGAAGGTGACTGGATCCTCTGACATCCTAGTAGCCTGAGCACGCATCAGCTCCATTGGGGATGGCTTCTGGGCACCCTTATAGGATTGGATGGTAAATCCTCCTGATAAAAAAAAAATCACAGCAAGTAAGAGCTAGGAAACTAGCCAAGTCCTTTTTCCACTGCTGCCAGGAGTGAGCGGTGTCACTGATGTCCAACACTGCAGAAAGCCTGTGCAAGACCAGCAGCTTCATGTCATCTAAAGCCTACTCCACATCAGTGGCCACAAGATGACAGTTCTCCCCTAGCTCTTGCAGAGCAGGAGATTTTAGAGGACATACCTGGATCATTGGTGGATTTCTGGATGGCTTTGGGTCCAAAAAAGCTCCATCTTTCAGATGGCAGTTTGTCCCCACCAGCTTCCATGGCAAAGTCTGGGCCAGTGATAGAAGCAGAGGATCCCCGACTAAACCAACCTCTAGGGAAAAAAAAAAATCATTGAGATGTATAAAACACAAGAATAAATACTTCAAGTGGCCTTACTGTGCCAGGAACTTTACATGTAGTTATCAGGGGCAGTTTAAACTATCTTAATAGGTTTGTTACCACCCAGGATGAAGATATGTAAGCTCAAATTCCACAAGCTTTCAACATTTGGATCTATCCAACACAAATCCACAGGAGGCTGTGAATTTCACCCCTTAGACAGTCCCACAGTGGATAAGAAGGTTATTTGTAGCAGCTCCCACCTCAGCAGCTTGTAGAAAATCAAAGGAGGCAGTGCTCTGCGAAGAACAGAGTACCTGTTTTTATGCTTTGGAGAGGAGTGGGGAGTGCTGCTTGGAGTGGACTGAGCAGAAGAAGTCTGTTTGTCATCTTTTGTCATCTCTCCACTCTGCATTTTTAGCTTCTGTTAGGAGAGGCAAGAGAAACGCAGAAGCAACAGAAAAATACAAGACATAAGGAACAGTCAGTTTTATTGTCAAAACTGGACAATTGTTTATATCACAGGTGATAAAGGATTTAAGTGTCACTTCACCTAAAGCTACAGCCACTATTACAATACTTGCATACAGCCCTTAAGCTTCTTTCCACATCAGATACAAGCATTTTGGAAGTCACTATGCTCAAGACACATCCTCCAGACTAGAGGAAGTAAAATAACATCTACAGCTCACTCTGCAATTCAGAATCACTACCCAACAGTAATGCACTGCTGCAATACCAGCATTCATATGGAGGTTGCAGATGTAGCAGAGCCAGCTTACACATCAGTTCAGCTACCTGGTAACAAGTCTAAATGCCAGAGCAGCCATTTGTCTGCAGCACTCTTCAGAGCGACAAAGTTTTCAGTCCCACAAGTTCTCTAATGAGCTCATACAGAAGGTACAAGGTCTAGGAGTACTAGACCCTAAGAAGTAATCCATATACAACAGGATGGAAACATTGCTCTAGAAGACTGAGATGAACTGCATTTGAAGAGTACACCTGGTCACAGAATAAACAGGAACTGGGTGTATGTGAACCAGGTTATTCCAAGTCAGACAGTACAAACTGAACTTTGAAGAAGTCATGTGAAGGGCAGTTACAGTTCAAACACCAGCTACGCAGGCACCTTCTCAGAATGTTTCCTGTGGCTATCCAAGCCACATTAATGCAGTTCCTCAACACTGTTATTGAAACTTTGACCTTGTGGGAGTACACTTGGAGAGTTCACTAAACTCCAACTGCAAGAATACTTCGAGTAACTGAGCTCATCAGAAACATGCTAGTTCAAGACCTTAGTCTTTACTTCCAGCAAGAGGAAAGCCCAATTTCATCCGCTAACTTCCACATCAGAAATGCATGGTTTACATGTTCTCTTGGGACAATTACAACAGTCAACTGCAGGGCACCATTCAAAGGTACAGCAAGAAACTAGATTGTGTAGACAAGTCCCCACTTGGAAAGACAACTGTGACAGTATGACATGACTGTGGAATATGATAGATATCAGAAAAAAGTTTATTTCAAAACTATAAAGGCTAACAGTAACTTTAAAATATAAGTGGGTAACCTTTTTTACACAAGGAGCTAAAAGCCTTCAGAGTAAGCAGTTTAAGGAGAATCCTAGCAACATGCTCCACAAGTGACATCACCAGTTCAGCATTAAGCTAGTACACAACCTACATGTAGAAAGCAAATGCAAAACAAGCCTTACGTGGACTGCCTCAGCCACTCTGTGATACTTGGTCTCCTCAGTAGTGAGGCCTTTGTGGGGAGTGTAGCCAGCATCTCTCAGCCCTGCCTGCTGCTCAAAGCGCTGAATGCTCTCCTGAGTCTGTTCTGGAATGGACAAGAGCACATATTCATACAGAAACGCCATCACAAGCAGTTCTAGCAAATAAAAGCAACTTAAGCAACTGAAGGTAAGACCCTTTTTTCATCATTCATACCTACATGTTGTGATGAGTTGACAGAGGCAGTAAGATTAAGCTAATGAGATATTCTGACTTGAAAACTGAGTCATAGGGCTAAGTCAGATGAACAGTGATTTGTCCCAAACCACCAGATGTATTACAAATGCAACACCTGTAATCAAAAGCATCTCACCCAAGAAGCTGCATCGCTCCTAATTACAACTTCCTAAATTTAAAAGACTCCAATAAGCTGGACATTTTAAGTAGCCCTCTAGATTCAAGGGCATTTTTTTGGCCAACAAAAAAAATTAAGTCTTCTGAAAGACTGCCCACACTAGCTAATCTGAGAATCCTAGCCTTGGAGAACAGGTGCTAAAGAGTCCCAGTGATTCTAGATTAGGTAAAATAAGCTATTTCAGCCAAATACAGAGCCAGAATCTAATACACTGATATCAACTTCAGATCTGAAAAGTATAAGCACTTTCCCCCCACACCACCACTACCAGGATAAGATGTTCATTCCCCAGTGGAACTAAGGAAAAAGTCAAAAGGAATTAGAGCACAGAAAGATTACTGGAAAAGTTCAGTGTCTTCTTTTAAAGAGATAACACTTCCCATGTTAATGTTAAAAATTATTTGCAGGGATACTGCACTGTATATATGAGAAATCTAGAGGATCTTTGTTTATTTCCAACTTGTGCCTGAATGTTCTTCCTGGGAGGTGTAGGCTGGGGGTCCTGACTTCTTACTGAAGATTTTTAGACCATCATGGTTTTAACTAGATTAGCATTTTATCATTAGACTAGAACAGGAGCTGCTTTCCAGAAGAAAGTCCATACTCCTGGATGTTATTTTCCAATGTGCTGGCCATTTTTGAGCCAAGACTGAAATAAGTGCAAACGTATAGCTATTCCAAAATGCTGGTCTGAAAATCTAGAAGTCTTTAGAAGCACTGCTTGGAGGAAAAGATGAAGCCCAGATCCCAGCTGCTAAAAGAATAGGCAGGAGGGACAGATTAACACTTGAATAATTCCTCTTGTTGCAAACGGGCATGTCTCCTCTGCAAACATAACTGACCCAATCTGATTTTAAAGCATCCCGATTTATGAGGTTTGGTTTTTTTTAAAATAAGAGTTACTGTTAGCAAGACAGCTGCTGTTGCTGTTAACTAACATAAATGCCAGCAAGTGCTCCATTAGCACTTTATGTTAGCTCTCTGGTTAATTTTAGAGCTTTACCTGTCATTCAGAAACAGCAAGTTAATAAGCAAACAGAGTAGCAGCAGCAGCCGCCTCTGCACTCCAGCAACAAGGTGGCATGGACTGCAGTGTCCTATCAGCAGATACTGTGCCCTGCACTCCTCCCTCATTACCCACCTCAGCACCTAGAAACACAAAGGCAGTAAGTGTGGCCTATTCCCTAGTCCATTGCTTCCTTCCAGAAGCATCCTCCAAGAAAACTCATACAGCTCAAGAGCAGAGTCGGTCTGAACCCACAAGCTGTCCAGGAACTCTGGTAGTTACCTTGAGGCATTACCAAGCCAAATCAAGCTTGTGTGCCCACACCCGATTAGCCACCACATTAGAAGTGAGAATTCTTACTTGTAATGAGAGAGTTCATGATGATATGAGTGGCCTTGGCCTTCACCACAGGTACCTTGTTCACACTTTCGGTGGACGATGAAGGAGTTATGACAGGTGCATTCATGCTAGCATCCCCGTCCTCAATCTGTGGGAAGAAGTAGGGTACAGTTTAATGTGAGAAAGTATCTCAGCACCTTGCCAGGACACATCTCTAACTACTTAAATGAGACACAAGGCCAAGCTGCTCTAGCAACTAGCCTTCATCCCATGGAAGAAACCCACATGCTGTTCTCACTAGAGCCCAGGAATGTTTAGAGCTTGAATCTTAGTTCTTAGCAATGAAGAAGCAACTTGCATCCAACATTTGAAAAACTACTGGGCTCAGAGCCAACAAGTTGTTACTCTAGGTACAAAAAGGTCAACAGGAAAGAAACCAGAACATATCTACTTCCATTCTCACAACTGCAAACTGGACTTCAAGGTCAATTGGGCAAAAGCACCCTTCCACAGACAGCTCATAAACAGAAACTATTTACAGAATGGCGGTCACACAGAGTAGAGGCTGGTGCTTAGATCTTTGTTTTCCTCCTCATTCCTTTTATCAGTTTCTTGCTCAGTGTATCTAGTGGTCATAGCTCTACCACCAATCACGAGACCCTCGCAACAAAAAATCAGACAACGAATGCCAGAAAACAAGAAAAACCTGTGAAACACAGACTTCCTCCTCCTTACACCAGAGTTACGGTTCCCTGACTGGACAGTTTGCTTTTTTGTGCCAAACCACAACTTTAGGTCTTCTGCCATGAGAAAGATTTTAAAACAAAATGATGCAAAAAGTAGAGGTTAAGCTCAAAGGGATGCAGAGTTATTTACTTCCATTCAACAACATTTAACTTCACTTCGAACTTAAAAAAACAGCCTCTAAATTTAACAAAGCTGGTCCTGCACTCAAAGCATCCCCATAGTCATTTCACAGAATAGCTTGGGTTAGAAGGGACCTTCAAAGACCACCTAGTCCAGCCTCCCTGCTGCAGGTAGGGACATCTTTCACGAGATCAGGTTGCTCAAAGCCTTGTCCCACCTGACTTTGAACACTTCCAGGAACGGGGCATCCACAGCTTCTCTGGGCAACCTGTGCCACTGCCTCACCACTCTCATCGTAAATTTACATCCAACCTAAATCTACCCTTTTCCTCTGCTTTAATTACACCTGGTTACAGCTTGCAGCTTTTTTTTTTTCCCATAAACGCCTCTTACAAGCAAGGAGACTCCCAAAACACACCTATCTCAACTATACTTCAGTGTTCCCACAACAGAGCCCGGCAGCAAAGCCGGCCTCTTGTCCCCAGCACCTCCCCAGG